CCAAAGGATTTCGGGGAAGGGATTTTAAAGGCAAGATGAAGGAGAGGGTTGCAGGATGACTGATCAGCTCATGGATATTGTTCTGACTGGTTGGTGGAGAGGTAACTGGGTGGTATTTGGCGAGTTAACATCATCAACCTTTTGGTTTTGACTGGTCTGAGTTCTATGTGTATGTGGTCATCACTTTTTTCACCTGATGGGGATTTTAGTATCTATAAAACAACTCAAGGACATGGCTCAGAATATTACCTATCATCCTTGATGAGAAACAAAAGGTCCTTGACTTTGTATTATGGCTAAACTATTTATTGTGTCTTACTTGGCTGTTCTTGTTTCTGCATTTTCTCATCTTAAATTTGTTTTCTGAAACTCAGGGAAGCCTTAGGAGGCTAAAACTTTTTTCATATAAACAAAAAGCAGAGGACATGGCACTGAATAGGGGTTAGTCCTGTCCCCAGAAAGGCCCCCACAGGGCCTTACTCAGTTTATTAATGGCCAGCCTGGGCCACATACCCATGTGTATGTGGTGTGACCAGAGTGAATGACATGCCTCTGAGAAGATGGAGACCAAACCAGTGGATCCTCAGAGAAGGGGCGCCTGCCATTTTACTAGTAACACACATAAATACTGCAACATAATTTTACCATGAATATCTCTGCATGCCCCTGTTTCCTTATTTCAGTGTCCTGTGCTTTATCTTCCCTCAAAGAATGGCCCTCAAGGCTTTCAGACCCTACTGAGGTGACAGATCAATAGACCAGCACATTGACTTATTAAGCCTTTTGAATCTCAGAAAAGGAAAGCTTGTTAGCCACACACTCAGCCTTCCATTGAATTATCTGGCTTTTTGAAAAGCACCAGGAAAAACATTTGGTTATGACCTGACTCTGAAACCTCCACACTCACTTCATCCTCATCGCCCCTCCCACCTGCACCTGTCAATACAGAAAACAGGGTGGTAAAAGCTGTTTCCAGCCATACTCCAGATGATGGCTGATGTGGAACTTGGAGTCATTTTCCCTTGAGAGAACCTTTGAGGACCAGATAGAATCTGGTCCAGTTGAGTCTCTTCAGGTGCTTAACTTTTACATGAGGGCTCTGGAGTTCAATAATTCATGCTAATGCGACCAGCAGCAAGCAAATCACATTCAAACTCTGCTCAGATTTTGATTATAAAACAACACCCCAAATGAATTTTATGATGGATAACATACTAGGTGATTTCAGGAGGATGAAACAAAAGTCAGGGCTTTGAGGTCAAATGAACAGAAGTCAGTCTCAGGGCCACTGGTCATTGGCTGTGTGACTTTGCCTGAACGTTGAACATCTCAGAACTTCTGTTTCGTCATTGATAAAATTAAGATAAAACTATTTCACAGGTTTTGAGATATATGAATGAGATACTACATGGAAAGTGCAATTATTGTTGTTGCTTAGTCACTAAGTCGTGTCTGACTCTTTTGCAACCCCATGGATGGTAAGTAACCTGCCAGGCTCCTCTGTCCATGGGACTTTCCAGGCAAGAATGCTAGAGTGGGTTGCCATTTCCTTCTCCAGGGGATCTTCCCGACCCAGGGATCAAACCCACATCTCCTATGTCTCCTAGACTGCAGGTGGACTCTTTACCAGTGATCCACCTGGGAAGCGCACAGTAGGGCAATAAGACAAATTTCTATGGCTGGCCAGAACCACAATAAATGATCATTTCCTTCCCCTCTTCAGATTCTCTCTCTTTCTTCTTCCCCATCCCCACCCCCCACCTCCACCACCTTTACAAGACAGAAGCCAATGTTTCCTATAAGTATGAATGTAGAACTGAGAATAAAAGGGGAGAATGAAGAGAAAAGGTGGTGAAAAATATTTTCATGTTAAAAGTAGAATTTACAATCAGCTTCCACAATCCTTTATCCCTACTGAGGGGAGATGGAGATAAGATGAAGATGGTCAGACAATTAGTACTATCTCAGGGTTTCAAAGTTTATGTCTCTTCAAAGAGATTTAAGCAGTTTTTGCAGTTTTAGTTTAATATTCTTGCTCAGTGGTCATTAAAATATATAAGCCACTTGTATGGGAATGTCTTCCAGAAAAGAAAGGAAAAAAGCAACTTGGCCATTTACAACACCTACGTTGAATCTCCATTGCTCCTATTTTAGTTAGAATAAAATGTAACTCAGACCAGGCATCAAACTTGGATGGGTGGGAAAGTGTCATAAAAATGCAGCTAAACAGTTCATGAACTTAGGCAAATTTTAAACCTCTTTGATCCCCAGTTTTCTAATCACAGGTGGTAAGAATTAAATAAATAAAGATATTGTGGAGTGCTTAGCACAGTATCTGGTACATAGGAAGAAACACTCAATAAATATTAGTTATTGATATCATCCTTATTATGCAAAGTCAAAGGGCTTAAATTCTTTTTTCTCCTAATTTTTCATTTCTCCTTCCTTTGCTTTCCTTTCCTTTTACGAAGCAAAAATGACAGTGTATTAGGCAAGATGGAAGTTCATTTAGCTTTCGGATAGAAATTGGGAAGTAAAGTAATCCAGGACTTGCCTAGCAGCTCCACAATGCAACCTGCCCCCCTTTTCAGGTGAGACTTTCGTCCTCATTGTCCAATATGGCAGCGAGAGCTCCAGCAATCATGTCCACATTCCCCATAACAAAATGGAGGAAAGGAAAAGAAAGTCAGTCCCTCTCAGTAAGGACATTTCCTAAAATGTTCTTATATCCTTTTGGCCAGATGTAGCTGCCAGTTGAGTTCAGTTCAGTCGCTCAGTCATGTCCAGCTCTTTGCGACCCCATGGACTGCAGCGTGCCAGGTTTCCATGTGCGTCACCATCTCCCAGAGCTTGTTCAAACTCACGTCCATTGAGTCAGTGATGCCATCCAACCATGTCATCCTCTGTTGTCCCCTCCTCCTCCCGCCTTCAATCCTTCCCAGCATCAGGGTCTTTTCCCCTGAGTCAGTTCTTCGAATCAAGTGGCCAAAGTATTGGAGTTTCAGCTTCAGCAGAGCTGGTAAATGTGACCTGTGTGTGCCAGATGCTGACGTACCCAGAAAAATGTGATTTATATTACAACATAAAACTGAGAGAAGGCATGGAGACTGACAACCGTTACTCCCTGATACAGCTCACCCTGGGAGTCTAACAGATTTAGATCATCCCCCAGAAATCCTCTGCTGTCATTCTGCTTCCTCCTGCTTACTTCTCATGTAAGGGAACAGCTTCTCCAAAGGGTAGTTCCATGGTTTGTTAAGCCTACTTAGCTTGGCTTAGTTTCTTCCTAAATTCCTCCCATACCTTTCACTTCTCATCCCCTAGCTTCATTCATTTTCTTTTTACCATTCAATTTTAATAAACAACACAATTACTCCCTTGCAGAAAAGTTAGAAAACTCATCAAAGCACTTAGGGGAATTTTATTTTAAATATTCAAAAATCTCACCATTTAGAAATAACTACTTTTCAACTGTTAGTGTACAGCCATCTAACATTTTCCCCAGGTAAATATATATATATATTGTATGCATATATTTATAAAGAAAGCCTAGTGTACATAACTGGTTTTAATCTCTTCTGTTATACTTAACAATATGAGTAACTCTCAATGTTGTTAATTATAGATCAACATCATCAACTTTAATGATTGCAGGGTTTTCCATTGTATGGGTGTATCATAATTTATTCAACTGATTCTGTTTATACACAACACTGGGTTAAACCTCCTAGTACATACATCTTGGCTCACTTGTCCACCAGATGAGCTGTGTTCCTGTGGTTGTCTAACTCCCCAGGGACCAGCAGAAAAGCACTGGTCTGCCATCCCATAGCAATATGGTGCTGTTCAGGTCTTGTCTCGATCCCTAAGCTGTTTGCAGTTCATTTTTAAATGAACATTGAAGACTCAGACGGTCCTTGAAGAACTGAATTAATGTCTCCTTACCTCCCCCTCATAAATAGCAAGACTGTCCCCAGCTGAGGGGCTGCTCCACCCAATGACTGAGGAAAACACAATACAATTGCAGGGGACACTGAAGGGCTTTCTATAGAACCCAAGTTACTAGAACTTTCCATTTGTCAAACTGACTTCAAGCAAGACCAGAGTGAGACCGTTTCTCTGTGGAGAAACCAGTTGCAATTAGGAAAAAAATGCATTTGACTGAAATAATTATTTAGACTGACAACTGATTTGACAAATAACAGTTCTTTAGCTGATTTTTTTAAAGTGATGATTGATTTCTGACTGTTAATTTGTCTTAGTTGTGCTTGCTAAAGATCCAAACACACATGGGGTTTTCAGTTTCTAGACAAGGCTGAAGACAAATTATGGTGTATCACTCTCACATAGCACTTTCTATTTTCAGGGAGTTTTCACCTCAGTTTTCTTCCCATTAACACGGAGGAGTAGGTAGAACTGATATCAATAGCCCTACATTACAGATGATCATTCTAAGAGGTGTCATCTATTGAGCACATTCTATGCAAAATATGAAACAATACACAAATGCATCATTAATATTCTTTAGTCCTCACAGCAACTCTAATAAGGTAGATATTGTTATCACTTCATCTTATAAGTGAAAGATGAAATAACTTGACTGTAGTCACACAGTAGCAAAGAGGTGAAGCCAGAATTCAAAATCAGTATTCCTAGCAAGAGTCACGGTCTTACTCAAGTTCCCATAGTTGCAGTCAAGTCCAAAGTCCTGCTCCCTGCATAGTGATTAAGAACAGGGTCTCTAAAATCAGGTTGTCTGACTTCAAGCCCCCTATTGCCATTTCCCAGCTGTGCCACCTTAAGTGAGTTACTACACCCTCTGTGCCTCAGTCTCTCCACCACAGAAACGGGGGTAATACTGTCTGTCTCAAAGGTCAAACAAGGAAATCCAACTCTGGCACTGAGTGCGTGGAAGGTACTCTGTCATTAGTACCTAATGTGACCCCTTGGTCCCTCCAGCCTCTAAGCCATACATATTTTCTTGATCTGTGTCACTGCAGGTGCCTCGAGCCAAGGCCTTATGCAACTACCGAGGGCAGAACCCCGGTGACCTGAGGTTTAATAAGGGAGATGTCATCCTCCTCCGAAGACAGCTGGATGAGAACCTGTACCAGGGGGAGATTAACGGAGTCAGTGGAGTCTTCCCAGCCAGCTCCGTGCAGGTCATCAAGCAGCTGCCCCAGCCTCCCCCACTCTGCCGGGCCCTCTACAACTTTGACCTTCGAGACAAGGACGGGAGTGAGAACCAGGACTGCCTGACCTTCCTCAAGGTGAGATTCCGGGCGGCCACCAAAGTCGCCAGTGACCACATAAAGGCTGTGGCAGAACTTAAGGTGTTTGTTTAATATTTGTTGATTTTTTAAAAATACATTTTATACAGGCTTCCCTGCTAGCTCAGTGGTAAAGAATCCACCTGCCAATGCAGGAGACGCAGGTTTGATCCCTTGCTTAGGAAGATCTCCTGAAGGAGGAAATGGCAACCCATTCCAGTATTCTTGCCTGGAGAATTCCATGGACAGAGGAACCTGGTGGACTACAGTCCATGGGGTCTCAAAGAGTTGGACACGACTTAGTGACCAAACAACAATGAACAACATGTGCCAATATATGTTATGTGTATGTATAGTTCAAACTATATGGAGGTGAAGTCACCAGAGAAATCGAACAGGAGTTTGATGTCAGTCCTCAAACATTTGTATTGCAATTATGAAACTAAGTATCCATACACTCATTCATTCATTCATTCTGCAATCACTTTTTTTTTCATTTATTTTTATTAGTTGGAGGCTAATTACTTTACAACATTACAGTGGCTTTTGTCATACATTGAAATGAATTAGCCATGGATTTACATGTATTCCCCATCCCGGTCCCCCCTCCCACCTCCCTCTCCACCCGATCCCTCTGGGTCTTCCCAGTGCACCAGGCCCGAGCACTTGTCTCATGCATCCAACCTGGGCTGGTGATCTGTTTCACCCTAGATAAAATACATGTTTCGATGCTGTTCTCTCAAAACATCCCACCCTCGCCTTCACCCACGGAGTCCACAAGTCTGTTCTATACATCTGAGTCTCTTTTTCTGTTTTGCATATAGGGTTATCATTACCATCTTTCTAAATTCCATATATATGTGTTAGTATACTGTAATGGTCTTTATCTGTCTGGCTTACTTCACTCTGTATAATGGGCTCCAGTTTCATCCATCTCATTAGAACTGATTCAAATGAATTCTTTTTAATGGCTGAGTAATATTCCATGGTGTATATGTACCACAGCTTCCTTATCCATTTGTCTGCTGATGGGCATCTAGGTTGCTTCCATGTCCTGGCTATTATAAACAGTGCTGTGATGAACATTGGGGTGCACGTGTCTCTTTCAGATCTGGTTTCCTTGGTGTGTATGCCCAGAAGTGGGATTGCTGGGTCATATGGCAGTTCTATTTCCAGCTTTTTAAGAAATCTCCACACTGTTCTCCATAGCGGCTGTACTAGTTTGCATTCCCACCAACAGTGTAAGAGGGTTCCCTTTTCTCCACACCCTCTCCAGCATTTATTGCTTGTAGACTTTTGGATAGCAGCCATCCTGACTGGTGTGTAATGGTACCTCATTGTGGTTTTGATTTGCATTTCTCTGATAATGAGTGATGTTGAGCATCTTTTCATGTGTGTTTTTTTTTTTGCCCTCTGTATGTCTTCCTTGGAGAAATGTCTGTTTAGTTCTTTGGCCCATTTTTTGATTGGGTCATTTATTTTTCTGGAGTTGAGCTGGAGGAGTTGCTTGTATATTTTTGAGATTAATCCTTTGTCTGTTGCTTCGTTTGCTATTATTTTCTCCCAATCTGAGGGCTGTCTTTTCACCTTGCTTATAGTTTCCTTTGTTGTGCAAAAGCTTTTAAGTTTCATTAGGTCCCATTTGTTTATTTTTGCTTTTATTTCTAAAATTCTGGGATGTGGGTCATAGAGGATCCTGCTGTGATTTATGTCGGAGAGTGTTTTGCCTATGTTCTCCTCTAGGAGTTTTATAGTTTCTGGTCTTACATTTAGATCTTTAATCCATCTTGAGTTTATTTTTGTGTATGGTGTTAGAAAGTGTTCTAGTTTCATTCTTTTACAGGTGGTTGACCAGTTTTCCCAGCACCACTTGTTAAAGAGGTTGTCTTTTTTCCATTGTATATCCTTGCCTCCTTTGTCAAAGATAAGGTGACCATAGGTTCGTGGATTTATCTCTGGGCTTTCTATTCTGTTCCATTGATCTATATTTCTGTCTTTGTGCCAGTACCATACTGTCTTGATGACTGTGGCTTTGTAGTATAGTCTGAAGTCAGGCAGATTGATTCCTCCCGTTCCATTCTTCTTTCTCAGGATTACTTTGGCCATTTGAGGTTTTTTGTATTTCCATTCAAATTGTGAAATTATTCGGTCTAGTTCTGTGAAAAATATCGTTGGTAGTTTGATAGGGATTGCATTGAATCTGTAGATTGCTTTGGGTAGTATAGCCATTTTGACAATATTGATTCTTCCAATCCATGAACACGGTATATTTCTCCATCTGTTTGTGTCCTCTTTGATTTCTTTCATCAGTGTTTTATAGTTTTCTATGTATAGGTCTTTTGTTTCTTTAGGTAGATATACTCCTAAGTATTTTATTCTTTTTGTTGCAATGGTGAATGGTATTGTTTCCTTAATTTCTCTGTTTTCTCATTGTTAGTGTATAGGAATGCAAGAGATTTCTGTGTGTTAATTTTATATCCTGCAACTTTACTGTATTCGTTGATTATCTCTAGTAATTTTCTGGTAGAGTCTTTAGGATTTTCTATGTAGAGGATCATGTCATCTGCAAACAGCGAGAGTTTCACTTCTTCTTTTCCTATCTGGATTCCTTTTACTTCTTTTTCTGCTCTGATTGCTGTGGCCAACACTTCCAAAACTATGTTGAATAGTAGTGGTGAGAGTGGGCACCCTTGTCTTGTTCCTGATTTCAGGGGAAATGCTTTCAGTTTTTCACCATTGAGGGTGATGCTTGCTGTGGGTTTGTCATATATAGCTTTTATTATGTTGAGGTATGTTCCTTCTATTCCTGCTTTCTGGAGAGTTTTAATCATAAATGGATGTTGAATTTTATCAAAGGCTTTTTCTGCATCTATTGAGATAATCATATGGTTTTTATCTTTCAATTTGTTAATGTGGTGTATTACATTGATTGATTTGCGGATATTAAAGAATCCTTGCATTCCTGGGATAAAGCCCACTTGGTCATGATGTATGATTTTTTTAATATGTTGTTGGATTCTGTTTGCTAGAATTTTGTTAAGGATTTTTGCATCTATGTTCATCAGTGATATTGGCCTGTAGTTTTCTTTTTTTGTGGCATCTTTGTCTGGTTTTGGAATTAGGGTGATGGTGGCCTCATAGAATGAGTTTGGAAGTTTACCTTCTTCTGCAATTTTCTGGAAGAGTTTGAGTAAGATAGGTGTTAGCTCTTCTCTAAATTTTTGGTAGAATTCAGCTGTGAAGCCATCTGGTCCTGGGCTTTTGTTTGCTGGAAGGTTTCTGATTACAGTTTCGATTTCCTTGCTTGTGATGGGTTTGTTAAGATCTTCTATTTCTTCCTGGTTCAGTTTTGGAAAGTTATACTTCTCTAAGAACTTGTCCATTTCTTCCAAGTTGTCCATTTTATTGGCATAGAGCTTCTGGTAGTAGTCTCTTATGATCCTTTGTATTTCAGTGTTGTCTGTTGTGATCTCTCCATTTTCGTTTCTAATTGTGTTAATTTGGTTCGTCTCCCTTTGTTTCTTAATGAGTTTTGCTAATGGTTTGTCAATTTTGTTTATTTTTTCAAAAAACCAGCTTTTAGCTTTTTTGATTTTTGCTATGGTCTCTTTAGTTTCTTTTGCATTTATTTCTGCCCTAATTTTTAAGATTTCTTTCCTTCTACTAACCCTGGGGTTCTTCATTTCTTCCTTCTCTAGTTGCTTTAGGTGTAGAGTTAGGTTATTTATTTGACTTTTTTCTTGTTTCTTGAGGTAGGCCTGTAATGCTATGAATCTTCCCCTTAGCACTGCTTTTACAGTGTCCCATAGGTTTTGAGTTGCTTGTATATTTTTGAGATTAATCCTTTGTCTGTTGCTTCGTTTGCTATTATTTTCTCCCAATCTGAGGGCTGTCTTTTCACCTTGCTTATAGTTTCCTTTGTTGTGCAAAAGCTTTTAAGTTTCATTAGGTCCCATTTGTTTATTTTTTGCTTTTATTTCCAATATTCTGGGAGGTGGGTCATAGAGGATCCTCTGCAGTCACTTTAGACCACCTGTTCTTTTCAGACACTGGGGAGATAGCACGAATAAGTCACAGCATCTGCGCTTGGGCAGAGTAGTGGGAGAAACAGATAGACAGAAAATTGTAAACATAGTTTAATAGCATGCTGTATAGAACTACAGATCTTACCTCTTCATTGAGTGTCTGTAAGGATATTCTTGCTGACCAAGTTCACTACTGCTTGTTTACAAGACTATTTTGTCTGTAGACATTGCATTCAAAACACTCTAAACAGCAACTACTGAAGCCTGCCTGCCTAGAGCCTGTGCTGCTCAACATCAGAAGCCATCGCAGTGAGAAGCCTGCACACCACAGCAAAGAGTGACCCTCACTCTTTGCAACTAGAGAAATTCCGTGTGTAGGAACAAAGACCATCGCAACCATAGATCAATAAGTGAATTTTTAAAACCACTCCAAACACACAGAATAACATAATTATATCTTTACACATAAATAACTTCTTACAAGATACATTTTCCAAGGACATCAGTTACCTATGATTTTTTTTAAACCTCTCTTTTTTATTGGCTGATTCTTCACCATCTGTAAGTAACAAGTCTCCTAAAGTCTAGACGATAGCCATCCCTGTATATTTGGGGTGAGGGGGTGGATCCAGGACACACGGAATCCTGAGGATGCGGAGTCCATGGATTCAGAGGGTCAACTGTACTCTAAGTCTCGAATTTGAGCAACCTCCAGGAGGTAGTGGAGGACAGGGAAGCCTGGTACGCTGCAGTCCATGGAGTTGCAAAGAGTTAGCGACGTAGCGACTGAGCAACAACAAAATTCAGTATTTATTATTCCCTAAACATTCAAATTTTCTCATAGAAACCAAAGTTGGGGTAATTTTTATTCTTTGCAACTTAAGTCAAGTGCAAGTGCAAGTAGCACTGCTACAGTAAGTTCAGGAAAAGTCTTTTGTTTTGTAAAACATTTTTCTTCCATCACCCCCTGAAATGAGATTTGCTTCAGATTCCCTCAGACCAGATAACTTCACTGTCCTCCATATTATGAAATACTGATCTTTGTTATTGTCTTCACACCTCAGAGTGAGTCCCCTCAAGAATACCATTCTGGAGCCGACCTGCGTATTTTATACTTTGGCTACAGCCAGAGGACAGCAGTTCAACTCCACACGCGTTTATTGAGTATTTACTTTGTGCCTGGCATTAGGCACTGAGCTCTGGGGATACAGCCAGGGGAAGACATAGGCAGGGAGCATACCTGCTTTTGTGTCCCCTCTCTGGGAATTTGCAAACCGGGACACTTACTCGAGAACTTGTTCATTCGTTGAATTCACCCATGTACCAGGCTGCCTCTGCAGATACAGTGGGGATTCATTGTCCATATCGTCATGGAGCCAGCAGCCTAGTGGAAGGAGCGGACACATAAATGGGAAATTATGACAAAGGACTCAGAAGAGAGGATTTGCTCCCTCCTAGGAGATTATCAGGGTTTCCCCAATGGTTCATCGTTAAAGATCTGTCTGCCGATTCAGGAGACACTGGTTCGATCCTTGGGTTGGGAAGATCCCTTGGAGGAGGAAATGGTAGCCCACTCCAGTATTCTTGCCCAGAAAATCCAACGAACAGAGAGCCTGTCGGGCTACAGTTCATAGAGTCACAAAGAGTCTGACATGACTGAGCACAGCACAGTGGCAGAAGGCTATCATAGACTGAGACTTCACTAGGAAATCTCATGGTCTTCCTAAATTCAGCATATCTAAAAAAACTCAAGGTATTTTCTCCCAAAGCTACTCTTTTCCTGGTATTTTCTGTCTCGGTAAATTTTCCAATTTATTCACACATGCATTCATTCATTCACCCATGCATGCATTCCAGAAATACTGATTGTTTTAAAAATTGTGAATCACTGTGTTGTACACCTAAAAGTTATATTGCACATCAACTATACCTCAATAAAAAAATAATAATAATAAAAACTGACTGGTTGACTGCTAAAAGGAAACCACTGTATAAGGTCCTGGGGACAAAAATGATCAAAATAGATCCAGGCCCTACAGACATAGAGTTTATGGTCTGATGGGATAGACAGACATTATAGCAGCCATAATGTAAACACGTGTAATTGCAGATTATAATAAGGACAAAGAAATCTAAGAAATGATATAGTGCCATAATGAATTTAGATTTGGATTCATCTACATTACTAAGGGACATAGATCAGAGAGATCAGTGGATGAATATTCAGAGTTAGATGGGTGAATATTCAGACTTAGATCGATGAACAGGTGTGGACATGGAAAGATGTTCCTGACCTGATGTTAAGGGAAAAAAACAGTGTATCCTATATGACTTCATTTGAATGAATACAAAAGAAGTCAAATGAATATATATGCTAGAGTCAGAGTGGAGATAACCTCTTGCTAGGTGTCAGGGAAAAGCACAAGAGCCATCTAGGTACTGGAAATATTCATATCTCTTGCTCCAGATGGGGGTTTTGTAGATATATTCAATTTTAAAACTTCATCAAGCTTTACATCTAAAATATTTATGCTTTATTGTATGCCTGTATACATGTTTTAGAAAAAGTTTTTAAAATTTTAGTTTCTAATTTTTATATTAAATATAAAATATATTATAATTTTATATATTTATTTATATATATTTTATCTTCATATAAAAGAACCTGGAAGAAAAACATGTTAACCAAGAGGTTAACACTGATTGTATCTATATTGTGATAGAATTCTTTGTTTTGCCTATTTACGTTTCCAAACATTTCTACAAATCTCCATATAACCTTTGATAATAAAAACTTGAATAAAAAGCCATCTTATGTTTGATACATTAAAAATTGAACGGGTTCTGAAAAGTGTTCAAAATCAGAGTACAATACATTTTTCCTTTTGCTAAGCCAAAAGTCAGTCTCCCTACATCTTCCATGTTGATTTCTCATCAGATTAATTTAAATGAAAAGCCCTGATTCTGCTGGTGATGGAACATTAGAGACATTTCCAAGTTTTCTTAATGGATTTCCTTGATGCTCCAGATTATTTCTACTCCTCTTTTGGTCTTAGTGACCCAATACTGCCCTTTATGGAGAAAAGAGTATTTTAGCAGAGATTTTGTAAATAGATTGTGAAAAAGTTACCTTACTTGCACCTTACACCGTCTTAGACTCCAAGCTGATCTCCATGGAAAGCTTTCCCTCCCAGAAAACTGAGAGTAAAAGCTAACCAGGAGACTTTCTGTCTTTCAGGATGATATCATCACTGTGATCAGCCGAGTGGATGAGAACTGGGCAGAAGGCAAGCTGGGAGATAAAGTCGGTATCTTCCCAATCTTGTTTGTAGAGGTACGTGACTATCAAATCTACATCTGATGTGAGGTTAGAATTATACATAGGCTACAGTGATGCCTAAGAGCAATTTCTATTTGATATGAGGCTTATTTCAGAACTAACTAGTCTTGAAAGAAAAGATGCTAGTCCATAATACCCACTTCTGAACTTCTCTGGTGGTCCACTGGTTAAGACTCCGTGATTCCAATGCAGGGGGCACAGGTTTGATCCCTGGTCCAGGAACTAGTGTCCCACATGCCATGCTGTGAGGCCAAAAAAAGTTTTTTTTATTACAAAATACCCATTTCTTGCAAGAGTGTGGGAAAATAGGCCTTTTCATTCTGCTGATGGGAGTACAAATGGCCATTATCTCTCATCTCCAGACTTAAACTCTATCAAGGATGTTGAAAATGTACATCTCCTGTGAGTCATGAATTCCACACCTGAGAGTTGATTATAAGGAAATAATAAAACAAATGTGCAAAGAAGTGTGTACAAAATGCACAAAAATGTTTACCATAGCATTGTGCCTAGTGATGAAAAGTCAGAAATAATCTAACTACACAGCAATAAGGATTTAGGGTTTTTTTAAATTATGGTGATGGAAAAATACAAGCCCATTAAAAATAAAATGTTAAAAGATAATACTCAATATCAGGGAGTATCTGGTATTATAGAAAGATGTTTGTGATTTATTGTTCAGTTCAGTTAGTTCAGTAGTTCAGTCATGTCCAACTCTTTGCAGCCCAATGGACTGCAACACACCAGGCTTCCCTGTCCATCACCAACTCCCAGAGCTTGCTCAAACTCATATCCATTGACTCGGTGATGCCATCCAACCATCTCATCTTCTGTCATCCCCTTCCCCTCCTGCCTTCAATCTTTCCCAGTATCAGGGACTTTTCCAAGGAGTCAGTTCTTTGCAGCACTTGGACAAAGTATTGGCGCTTCAGCTTCAGCATCAGCCCATCCAATGAATATTCAGAACTGATTTCCTTCAGGATGAATTGATTGGATCTCCTTGTAGTCCAAGGGACTCTCAAGAGTCTTTTTCAACACCACAGTTTAAAAGCATCAATTCTTCGGTGCTCAGATTTCTTTACATCCATTTCTCACATTCATACATGACTACTGGAGAAAACCATAGCTTTGATTAGATGGACCTTTGTTGGTAAGGTAATGTCTCCGCTTTTTAATATGCTGTCTAGGTTGGTCATAGCTTTTCTTCCAAGGAGCAAGCATGTTTTAATTTCATGGCTGCAGTCACCATCTGCGGTGATTTTGGAGCCCAAGAAAATGAAGTCTGTCACTGTTTCCATTGTTTCTCCATCTATTTGCCATGAAGTGATGGGACCAGATGCCATGATCTTAGTTTTTTGAATGTTGAGTTTTAAGCCAATTTTTCAGTCTCCTCTTTCACTTTCAGCAAGAGGCTCTTTAGTTCCTCTTTGCTTTCTGCCATAAGGGTGGTGTCATCTGCATATCTGAGGTTATTGATATTTCCCCCAGAAATCTTGATTCCAGCTTGTGCTTCATCCAGTCCAGCATTTCACATGATGTACTTACTCTGAATATAAGTTAAATAAGCAAGGTGACATTATACAGCCTTGATGTACTCCTTTCCCAATTTGGAACCAGTCCATTGTTCCATGTACGGTTCTAACTGTTGCCTCTTGACCTGTGTACAGATTTCTCAGGAGGCAGGTAAAGTGGTCTGGTATTCTCATCTCTTTAGAATTTTCCAGTTTGTTGTGATCCATACAGTCAAAGGCTTTGGCATAGTTAGTGAAGCAGAAGTAGATGCTTTTCTGGAACTCTCTTGCTTTTTCGATGATCCGACAGATGTTGGCAATTTGATCTCTGGTTCCTCTGCCTTTTCTAAATCCAGCTTGAACATCTGGAAGTTCTCAGTTCACATACTGTTGCAGCCTGGCATGGAGAGTTTTGAGCATTACTTGGCTAGTGTGTGAGATGAGTGCAATTGTGTGGTAGATTGAACTTTCTTTGGCATTGCCTTTCTTTGGGATTGGAATGAAAACTGACCTTTTCCAGTTCTGTGGCCACTGCTGAGTTTTCCAAATTTGCTGGCATATTGAATGCAGCACTTTAATAGCATCATCTTTTAGGATTTGAAATAGCTCAGCTGGAATTCCATCACCTCTACTAGCTTTGTTTCTAGTGATGCTTCCTAAGGCCCACTTGACCTCACACCCCAGGATGTCTGACTCTAGGTGAGTGATCATACCATCGTGATTATCTGGGTAATGAAGATCTTTTTTGTACAGTTCTTCTGTGTACTCTTGCCACCTCTTCTTAATATCTTCTGCTTCTGTAGGTCCATACCATTTCTGTCCTTTATTGTGCCCATCTTTGCATGAAATGTTCCCTTGGTATCTCTAATTTCCTTGAAGAGATCTCTAGTCTTTCCCATTCTATTGTTTTCCTCTATTTCTCTGCACTGATCACTTAGGATTGTTAGCTAAAATAAATTTTAATGCTTGTAGAGTTTAAGATTTAGAAAATGAAGTTCTAGAGTTTTGTTTCTCAAAAATGTGACTGTGACTATAATTAACGTTAACAAATTGTATACTTAAAGATGATGATTATGGTCAATTTGCTATGTATTTTTTCACCACAATTTTTAAAAAACAAAGTAACTCATGAAACTAGCTTTATAAATGTGTGTGTGTGTGTGTGTGTGTGTGTGTGCGTGCATAAATGGATAAAGGACTGGAAGAATATGTACCAAGATATTAACAGTGGTGATCACCAGATGGTGCGATTCTAAATGATTTCCATTTTCTTCTCCCACCCTGTATTTTGTAAATCTTCAGAAATTAGCACAGATTACTTCTATTTTTTTTAATCTACTTTAAAAGAAAGAAAGAACACCTGTTAGGTTATCTCCCTGTTTCTCCAGATAATATATCATCTATAGCCTCTAACCTCTCTAGCCATCAGCCTCACCCCAGCTTGAAGCAGGTCATCACAAATTTGAAAGAGAGGTTTCATTGTTAACTACATTTGTTGAGCGCTTACCAAGCACAAAGCTTTAAAAGTGAGCAATGCCGAGCTATAAAAGAAGTAAAAGGTGTGCTCTTGGCCCTCTAGGAGGGTGGGGTGAAATGAAACAGAGGCAGAGTTGCAGAGAAGGGACCAGTATTTCCATCTGAAGAGCCAGAGCAGGTTGTGAAGTGAGTGGAGTGCCCAGAACACTGCCCAGGTGTTGAGGTTCCCTCTGTCCCACCCCCGGCGGCCCCGTCTGTATGGAAGGAAGGAAAGATGGAAAGGAAGGAAAGATGGAAGGGTCCAGAGAGGCTGGGCCTCCTACTCTCACCACCAAACGATAGTGCTTTTTCTCTTGTTGAAGCCCCATCCAGGTATACCCACTGAGTTCTCTACTTGTTCAATTTCACTCATTTTATGAGGCTCAACTAGAAACCTATTTTTCCGTAAAATTCCAGTAACTAGTTGGAACATTCAGCTGTCTCTTTCTTCTCTGAACACCTGATGAATATGTGCATTGTACTTCACAGGCTAGCCCAACACAAAGCAGATACTTTGTTTAAAACTAAGTTTTAAAAAAATTAGCTTCACAAGCAAATGAATGAAAAAATATTTGGGAAGTGTTCCAACTGACTGGGAAAAAACCTCAGAAAACCATCCTTTCAACATGACCTCATCCCTCATCCTAAATATATATTCAATCGTGCAACTAATTTTTCATTGAATGCCTGCTTGTCAGGTCTTGTGCTAAGTTCTAGTGACACAAGTCAGATATGGGTCCCTAATTTCAAGGACTGTAAGGGAGACATTAATAAGTAATTATAAGTGTGATGAATGTGCAAAAAGTGAAGGAGAGGGAATTACTGGGGGGAGGAGGGTATGATGTGCAACTTACTTGAGTAGGGTGTTAGCAGATGCCTTGTAAACCAAGATCTGACAAGTGATTAGGAGTTGTTTAGGTAAGAATGGAGGGAAGAGAGTTTTGGGGACTGGAGGTAATATGTGCAAATGTCCTGCAGGATAAGGAAGTGTGGTAGCCTCCAGAGAACCAAAAAATACTAGAGCTGGAGCTTAGAGAGTAAGAGAGAGACAGGAAAACAAAGCCAGGGAAACAAATGGGAACCAGACCAGAGGGGACGTTGTAAACCTTCCTGCATTAGTCCAGATGAGCCAGGTTATGCCATGGTGATAAACAGCCCCCATATCTCAGTGGCGTCACAAGAAAAGTTATATCCAATCCATATTACTTGCTCACCACACAGTGGTGAGAGGCCGTGCTCACATAGCCACTGAGGAACCCTGCAGGGTGAGGCTGGGCCATCTGAAAGCTATGCCATCTGGAACACATGGACTTCCTAGGTTTCATGGCAGGGGAAGAGTAAAGAAGAGGGAGTTGTACACCAGCAAAGGCCTCAGCTCTGTGACATTTGTCACTCCTACTCATAGTTCATTGGCCTGAACGAGTCACATAGTCCCTTCCGTCCTAAAGCCAGCTGAGAAGTATAGAGGATCACATGGAATATTTGCTGAGCATTCCTGCCATAGCATAAGAAGTTTGAACTTGACCCAGAAATCAGTGGACACAACTGAAATATTTAAAATGAGGCAGTGGCTCCTTGAGATTTGGGCTTCTATTTTTGATTATTATTTTTACTTTTTGGCTGTGCTGGGCCTTCGGTGCTGCACATGGGCTTTCTCTGGCTGCAGAGACAGGGGCTCCTCACTGTGGTGGCTTCTCTTGTTTGGGAAGCACAGGATCTAGCCCCACAGGCTTCACTTGTTGCTTCACATGGAGTGGGTAGTTGTGGCTCATGGGTTCTAGAGCACAGGCTCAGTAGCTGTGGCACACGGGCTTCGTTGCTCCATGGCATGTGGAATCCTCCCAGACCAGGGATCAAACCCATGTGCCCTGCATTGGCAGGTGGATTCTTTACCCACCTGGGAAATCCAGATTTGGGTTTCTTAAAGATTGCTCTGAATGCAGTGGGGAAAATGATTTGAGGAGGAGGGATTAAAAAAAAAAAAGCAGAAAGATCAACTGAGCTACTCCATCACTCAGTTAGAAAAGGACTGTGGCTTTGACTAGTAGATTGGAAACAAGTGGACAGATTCCAGGACCTTTGAGTAGGTAGATCCACAGGAGTGGGGGACAGGGGCGAGGAAGTGGTCAAGGATAACACCCCACTTTTGGCTTTGTGTGCCTAGGTCAGTGGTAGGGCCATCTGCTGGATGAAGCAACACTTGGTGAAGAGGAACAATTATGATGTTTGGGAGATGGTGGTTATGTCTCCAAGGACAGAGATCAGCTACAAGTAAACCCTGTGCTGAGTTTAGTTTCTCAGTCGGGTCTGACTCTTTGCAACCCCATGGACTGTAGCCTACCAGGCTCCTCTGTTCATGGAATTCTCTAGGCAAGAATACTGGAGTGGGTGGCCTTTCCCTTCTCCAGGGGATCTTCTCAACCCAAGGATCAAACCCAGGGATCAAACCCAGGTCTCCCGCATTGCAGGCTGATTCTTTACCATCTGAGCTACCAGGGAAGCCCAAGAATACTGGAGTGGGTGGCCTTTCCCTTCTCCAGGGGATCTTCTCAACCCAAGGATCAAACCCAGGGATCAAACCCAGGTCTCCCGCATTGCAGGCTGATTCTTTACCATCTGAGCTACCAGGGAAGCCCAAGAATACTGGAGTGGGTAGCCTATCCCTTCTTCAGGGGAACTTCCCCACCCAGGAATTGAACTGGGGTCTCCTGCATTGCAGGTGGATTCCTTACCAGTTGAGCTACCAGGGAAGCCCCTCAACTAATCCCTAGCTGGATGCATAGTAGGTGCTTAAATTTTTGTAGATTAGAGCTTACATAGTCCCTTGTATTATTTCAAGAAGCTTCTTCATCAGTATGGGAAAACAAGGCATCACTGATTTTATTACCCATTTCTGATACCCTTCTTTCCCAAAACTTCTATACTTAATGATTATTCATTTGGATACTCTCCCCACCACTCCACCTCTAAAATAAGTGATTACAAGAACCCTCACGATCATCATCAAACTAGCCATCACTTCATTTGTTCTTCTAATTGCTAGGAGGGGGAAAGATAATCAAGTGGTTGCTCTAATCTGGGAACCTGGTTTTCAAAAATTACTTGAAATCCAAATTGAGCTTTTTAAAGCAGCACTTAAATGTTGACTCCAGTCATTTCATTAAGACCAGCACTTGCTGAGAACTCTTTAAATAAGTTTTGAACCACCAAGGCCATGCAGAACAACTGGAAGGAAGGAGAGCTTCCTTCTGGGAGCAACAAAGTGGGGCATTTTTGGCATCAACAGAATTTTTCTTGTTAATGTATCATTTGACTTATTGAATTGCACCTGGATAAAAGGTGATAAAACAAATGCCAAGCTTATGCCAGTTCTTGTCAGGACTCCTCCTGTGGGGCCTGCCTGGGTCATGTGAACCTCGCTCAGCCCAATGAACCTCAAGGATATTGTTTCGAATGAGTGAGTGCAAATTGAAGAGCTCTGCAGTCCTTCCCCGACTGAGCTATTAATCACACTGGCAGAGGACAGGGAAGACCTACAGTCACATGGGGCTCTTTGTCTGTGTTGCTGATGGAAAACACTCACAGTGTTGCTCACCTAGGGACAGAAAAATTAGGTAGAACCAGAAAAAAATATATATTTATTTCATTGTGGCTGTGAATGACCAGAAAGAATTTTACTCATTCAGCTCAGAGGGTGTATTATCCTCTTCCCGGGGGAACAGTAGTGGGAGGTGTGCTCTGCGGGGACATGAGGCATGGTCCAGGCTTCCACTAGAATTGCCCTAAGTAACTTCAGTAATTTCCCAATTGATCACCCTCCTTCCTGCCTGACACTTCTGAATAGCAGCCAGAATGAGCTTTTGATGTATGTATTTTTATTTACATACAGTAAAATTTGATCTTTTAAGGGACAACTTAACCATCGTCTCCCAAGCATCATGATTGCTCCCCATCAGCAAATGTTACTTGATCCAGCAAATGGCTCTACTGCTGACCTAGGCACACAAATCAGTCCTCTTCCCCACCCCATGCTTCTGTCAAACTCCCAGTCCTGTGGATCTACCTCCTAAAAGGTCCTGGAATCTGTTCACTTGTCTCCAATCTACTAGTCAAAGCCACAGTCATTTTTAACTAAGCAATGGAGTAGCCTTTTAATAGGTCTTTCCGCTTTTCTGATAAATGCATACAGTATAACCACATCACCATCAAGATGTAAAATAGTTCCTATACCTCCCCAAAAATACAAAGGCAGACTGCCCCTTTGAAGTCAGCTCCTCCCCTGACTCCTGCTCCCGGACACCCCACTGATCTGTGTTCTGCCCCTGCAGTTTTCCTTTTCCCGAAGGTCATAGAAATGGAATGGAATAGAATGCAGCCTTCAGAGTCTGGCTCCCTTCACTTAGCATAGCGCCCCTGAGGTTCATCCGTGTTGTTGGGTGTATATGAAGCTCATCCATTTTTATTGTCAAGTCATATTCCACGGTAGGGATGTGCCAGAGTCGGTTACTCACTCACCAGTTGAAAGACATTGCGGTTGTTTCCAGTTATTTGGCCGCTAACACTAAAGCAGCTATAAACACTTGTATGCCAGTTTTTGAGTGAGCCTAAGCTTTTATTTCTCTTGGGTAATTACCTAGGAGTGGGACTGCTGGGTCAGATGCTAAGTAAGAAACTGCCAAACCATAGCATGAGCTTTTAAATAAAGGCATAAATCAGATCATGTCACCCTTCTACCCCAATCCTGCCAAACGCTTCCTGTTACACTTAGAATAAACTTGAAGCCTCCCAGCCTGGTGTGATCCAACTCCTGCCCGTCTCTGTGGTCTGCTCTTTGCCACCTGCTCCTCACTCGCTCTAGACCATTCTCCTTTCTGATTCTTTCACGTCTTTCTCAGTCTGAGCTTGCCCCCTCTTGGGGATTCTTCCACTAGCTTACCCTGCTACCTGGCATATTTTTATCCCCATCTTCACATGGCTGGTTCCTTCTTGGCATCTATGTCTTAGCTTGAATGTCACCTTCTCAGCAGGTCTTCCTTGACACCTCACCAAACCCCCCAAATCTGAAGTAGCCTCCACCCCCTGTCACTCTCTGACACATAAGAGCATTTATTACTGCCTAAACTTTATTTATTTATTCATTTGGTTGTGCTGAGTCTTAATGGTGACAAATGGATCTTTAATTTTGGCAGGCTAACTCTTAGTTGCTGCTTATAGGATCTATGAATAGATCCTATAATATTACCAGGAATGAAACCCATGCTCTCTGCATTGGCAGCAGGAAGTTTTAGCCACTGGACCACCAGGGAAGTCCCTGCCTGATATTTTCTTGTTTAGTTGTTTATGTGCTGGCTCTACCATGTATAAATCACCCCTTTTGGGCCTCAACTCTCTTATCTTTAAAGTAATAATGCCCCTTTCCCACTTGATGGTTTTTTTCCCCAATATTATAAGCTTCTGGAGGCAGAAACTACCTCTCCTTTAAAATTTTCTATCTCAACTCTATTAATCATCTTAATCATCTGAACATTTTCATTAGAAAGTTCTTAATGAAAAAACAGTTCTTAAATGAGCAAATTCCTTTTTCCCTCTATCACTGAATTTCAGAATTAGAATGAGATGTGCAATTTTAGAGAGCAACTGGTGACAAGCATAATGATGAAGATACGTTTTAATTGTCCTCGAAAGTTTATTCACACCATCCCTTTTGTCAGCATATTTCCGATTTCTGAAGGACATGAACTCATGGGGTGCTTGACAGGCAGAGTATTCAAAAAATACAGTACAGTCAGTGATGGTGCTAGCGCTAGAACTGGCTGGAACTCGATGGCAAGGGCTGGTGGTAGGTTTACAGGAATCTTGCTAGACAGTGGTTAAATTGCTGGTAGATATTTACACCAAAAATCATGGTAAGGGGATTGTCTGTTTTTCTGATGTACCAGCACTAAGAGGTATAGAACAAGAGAGAATGGAGATGAGATCAAAGTATTTAAAAGAAGTAGTAGAAGATAGTCTTAGCCTTAGATGATCCAGGGTCCTGAATGGATTTACATTCTGGTCAAACTTATCAAATGTGTGAACTTGAGCAACTTCATCCACCCATTCTTCCACAAACCCATAGGAACACCCACCCTGGGATACAGCAGAGAACACCCTGCCCTCAGGTAGCTGACAGTCCAGTGGAGGAAAGGAAGGTAAATGATTACAGTGTACAGTGGGAAAGCGTGGGGGCTGCAGGAATAATGAGAAGGACAAGCAGCCGAATCAAGGTTGGGGGAGGGGGGTCTCAGGGGGAGCTAGAAGAAAAGGGAAGGGTCTTCCAGGTAAAGGAAGCTGCGATGATGCTGAGAGAGATGGGCAAATCAGAGCAGAGTATCATGGCTTGTTTTAAATTCTTCAGCCCTCAGTAGAGTTGTACCTACGTTGCAAGCGAGTTGTGAGAATTGATTGATACAGGAGAGGGATTGGGACTTATGGATAAAAGATGGAAATTGTCCAAGGAGTGACACCTGAGGTGGTGGCATTGGCGCTGGCTTCAGATTAGCCTGGGGAAGTTATAGCTGCTCACACGAGGTCAGGATGACTAAATTCTTATTGGATCTTTCATCTTTTCAGCCAAACCTCACCGCAAGACACCTCCTAGAGAAGAACAAAGGCCGTCCATCGTCCCACACGAAAAACCTGTCCCTGGTGTCCTCCCCCTGCAGAGGCAAGGCAACCAACACGCCCACCCTCCGAAGGGGCCCGGGATCCAGGAGGAAGGGGCCCGGCCAGTTCTCCATCACAACAGCCTTGAACACCCTCAACAGGATGGTGCATTCTCCCTCGGGGCGCCACATGGTGGAGATCAGCACCCCAGTGCTCATCAGCTCCAGCAACCCCTCTGTGAGCACCCAGCACGTGGAGAAAGCGGATGCTTCCCCCAGCTCCGTGGGACAGGTAGGGAACAAACCCCCAGGAGAAGGCCACCCTGGAGTTGGGCAAGTGGTCCACACCATGTCACAGGCAATATTGGATATTCAGTACCTGCTAAGCCCTTATAATGCATTAATAATAACTAATGTCAAATGTATTATATGTCAGAGCTGTCTTTACATGATCTCATTTCACCCTTGAAACAGCCTATGAGCTAGGTATTATTATTATTGTTACCTCCGTTTCACAGATGAGAAGACAGAGGTTTAGAGGCAGAGGGTTGCTTTCCCATGCTAAGAGCCATGGCATGGTTCCTACCCCTTAGAGAACATCCCTCCTGAGCAATAATAGCATGTTTTCTGGGATCACAGTCTGACATTCACTGTTTCATCTGCTGGCAATGTGTCAGACATCACGTGGAAGGGAAGGAAAAGAAAAAAGAGAAACTATGGGTTATTGGGTGTTTGCAGGACTAGCTATATACTTTACAAGGTTCAATGAAAAGTGAAAATGCAGATCAAAAATGATTAAGAATTTCAAGATGGCAACAGCAGAGCATGAAACCAAGTGAAGGGCCCTTTGGAGCAGAGAGCCACATGTGACTCCACATGTCACACACTCATGAAGCCAGTCGTGGTGCTTTCCTATGACATGTTTAATAAGATAATATATATAAAGTGCTTAGTACCGTGCCTGGCACATACTGAGTACCCAATAAGCATTGGCTCTTAATACTATTATTATTGATACTACCACTGTTATTGTTAAGCCTGGCCCCTGAATTGCCTACTGTAGGGAGATAAGCCAAAAGGCAATCCTGACCACCCAGCAGTGCAGACGTACTTCTGACAGCATGAGGCTGTTTAGGTTGAAGGATGCTTTAAAAGATGAAGGACCAGAGGTATGAGGCAAAGTAATTAAGAACTGCATGTCGGGTATTCTGCTATAAACACTCTTTGGAACCATGCAGGTGGCAACTTGAAAGGACAGACCTCAACGTGCAATTTTTTTTAAGCTGTAAATCTTGTTTTTAAACATGATTCTCTACCTTGGGATTAAATGACTTAATTGGACTCTAATCCGTTTTTAACAAGTCAAGGAGGACGAGAAAGTCAAGGGCTCCTCAAAGACCTGTGAGCTGGGTCTAAAAGGAAAACAATCACTTCCAACAGCACTTCAGACCTTATGCCACTGTCTGCATCTCTAGAGGGCTGGCTGTGGATGTCGTTCTGCCCGCCACTTGCATTACATACATACCGCGCACACACAGTTACACTCTCCCCTGCTCATACACTCTTCTTTCATTAAAAATCAGGAATTTCCTTCCCTTCCTATACACACACTCCAAATGCTTTTTTATAAGTACACACACAGTTTGTGCCCAAAGTTCAACACTCCCTATACACACACACACACACACACACACTCCAACATGAGGACCTAGTGACATACTTAAGTGAAAGACCAGCAGAATCTTCTGAAACCATTCTTTCTATACAGACATAGGTATTTGAAGTACAGCCCACATCCAGTAGACCTAGGCTAGCTCACTCAGCTATAAGTTAGCTTTCCAAAGGATTTAGCCAAGAGTCACTTTCCATGTGCTTTTTAAATTCTTTTTCCTGGTCAATTTATCTCACAGACAGAGGGGCTGGACCAGAGTAGAGAATCCTAGCAGGATTCCAAACAAGCATTAACTAATAACTAACACTGCTCTCAGCTGTCTGACTCTTTGCGACTCCATGGACTGTAACCCGCCAGGCTCCTCTGTCCATGGAATTTTCCAGGCAAGAATACTGGAGTGGGTTTCCATGCCCTCCTCCGGGGGATCTTCCTCACCTGGAGACTGAACCTGCATCTCTTGCATCTCCTGCAGTGGCAGGTGGATTCCTTACCCCTAGTGCCACCTGAGAAGCCCAGGTATCGGGTGGCCAAAAGTTCGTTCAGGTTTCTGTACCATCTTACGAAAAACCCCAACTGAACTTTTCGATCAATCCAACAGTATTTCTTCTTGATTTTCACAAATGGTGAGAATTCCAAAGTGTAGCTTTGGCATATCCTGTCCCCAAGGAACCACTGCACAGTACTGATAGCCTTTTCTAGATTCAGATGGCACTGGATTATCAGTATTTCTACGTTTGCCCAGATATTGTCAAAAACACCCTTGTAAAATGTCCCACCTGAGTTATATCTAAAGATGAGAAGCAAGTTGAGCCAGTGACAAGGTCTCCTATTTCCTTTGTCTCTAATATCCTTCAGAGCTGTGACTGGATATCCCTTCTCAAGCCCCTCCTTCCTTCCACATCCCAGCACCATCTATGGTACAGAGTCCCTAGTAGGTTCTCAGTAAATCAAGGAATCAAGACATTTGATTTAAACATCTGGGCAGACAGTGGTGACATATACATAGAGAGGGAAGATGGGAGGAGGAATTGTTTTCTACAGAAAGACCACAGGTCATTGTAACTCTTCCAGCCAGTAGACATCTGTTGAGTGCTTACAGTGTACTAGTAACCATAGCAAGTCCTAGGTATTCTATACCAAAGCAATAAGAACAGCAATAATAACCTCAAACATTTATTGAAAGTAAAAGGATAGGGAGGAGGGAGGGGAGGAAGGGAGGAAGGAATGAGGGAGGGAAAGAAGGAAGGAAGGAAGGACAGAAGGAGGGAGGGAAGTGCCAGTCTCCTGAGTGCTGCCCGACATTCTAAAATACAGTAAGAGGAGAGGTATTGTTACCGCTTTATAGCAAAGTAATTAAGGCCCCGAGAGAAAAACGGTTTGGCCAAAGTTCATGTAATTAGTGAACAGCAAGAGTCTGTACTGACCCTAGAATCATGTGATTCTGGCTCATAGACTCTTGTCACTCCACTATGCCATCAGCAAAGATGTCATCAGGCAAAATCTTGAAAGTCTTTAGCCTCCCTTTTCTTGCATGTCTTCATTTGATTCCCTGTAGACTCCAAGGCCTTCTCTTCCCTGCCCACCCCTCAGTAAAGAATTTGTCCTAAGCCTTCTGTACCTCAAGAAGGTCTTCATTTAATATCACTTTGTTCCTTTATGAACCACCAACTGTGGCCAAGTTTTATGTGCAGCACTGAAGGCAGCAGGAGTAAGTGTTTGTCCCCAAGGAATTCACAGTCTAGCAGGGATATAAAACATAAATGACTGTAGTGGAGTTGGGACTTCCTGAAATGAGATGAGGCCCCCTGTTGGCACCTGCACTGACTTTGGTCATGAAGATACTTGGAATTTTACAGTCAAGAACTGTCGTAGAGACAGGTATTCCCTTTCCAGTTTTCCCCAAGCCTTTTGGTGATATCAGAAAGTCTCAGTTTGGTGCCGGTCTTTCTGGAACATCCTGTACCAGGGTGCTAATCTCCTTGCATCAGGAAGAGAGAGCAAGGTATCAGGCTCAGGGCTTCAGCCACCAGTTGCCCATGTCTGAACTTCATAACACTGGATGTTTTTATCATGTTGATGGATGGTTATCCTCTGTATCATGTAAGAGATGCCAGTTTTGTATTCACAGAAGTCTGTAAAAAAATTTTGCTTTATTAAAATTTTAAAGCTTTTTTTTTAAAGAACAGGAAGTTAACAAGGTACAAGTGGGAAGTAGATACGGCAAAAATCTATAAAGATGGGAGGCAATATAGTTTAGAAAGCAGAAGTCCAGAGTAATTACGTGCAGAACTAAGACACGTGTGCAGTGCTACGGATGCAGAGAAGGGGGCATTCGTTAGCTTCATTCTCCTCATTGTGGCCTCCATCCTCTTGAAAACCCAAATCTGATATGCTGCTTCTCCTCCCGAGACCACCAGTGGTTCTCTACAGTTTTCAGAGGCTGTAATACTGCCATGAATTAAGTGGCCACTGAAAGTCAGAGACTATAAGACTTCCTCCCTTGCCTCCTCGGAGCAGTTCTCTCAGGGTTACTTGAGATGCTGCTTCAGCCCTAAAAACGTTCACCAAATAAGACATAACTCTCAAGAAAAAAAGAAAAGAAAAAAGAAACTACAAGAGATGAAGTACAGACCTTGTGACTCTTCTCACAACTCTTCCGAGTAGGTGTTCACATGCCCATTTTACCAAACAGCCCAAACTATGGGACAGAACAATTTGGAAACTTTTTCAAAGCCTTAAAGCTGGAAAGACCCAGGATTTGAGGGCAGACCTGTGCTCTCTCTCCTAAATAGTTAAGGGCATTCTAGACCCTCCCTGATCTGACTGTAATCTTCCAGCCTCACTGCTTCTCCCCTATACGTGCGCACATGAGCATGCAGGCCTGCATGCTAAGTCACTTCAGTCGTGTCCAGCTCCTTGCAACCTTATGGGCTGTAGCCTGTCAGGCTCCTCTGTCCATGGGATTCTCCAGGCAAGAATACTGGAGTGGGTTGCCATGCCCTCCTCCAGGGGATCTTCCTGACCTATGGGTCAAACTCAAGTCTCTTACATCTCCTGCATTGGCAGGCGGGTTCTTTACCACTAGTGCCACCTGGGAAGTCCACACATGAGCATACACACACGAAAGTTGCAGTGATCCCTCAACATTCACGAGTACAGCAGACACTGGGCCGCCTCTTGGCTTTTTGCCCTTGTACCCAGCTTAGTGCCTGCATTATTCTAAGCAATGAATAATGTTCATGAAATAAATAAATGTTACTCCTCCTAGAATTTATTTTTGGTGCAATGGCCTGTCACAAACACATCCGCACCCCAAGCCCTGTATGCACACCATTTCTTCAAGGAAACATCTGCCACTCCTCTTCTGCAGAATTCATTTTTGCCCTGTGTTCACACCGTATTGTCTACAGCTGGGTTCTCTGTGCTGGAAGTACCTCGTATGTATCTTAAAGGTTCACTAGATTGCAAACTTCTTAGGGGCAGGGTTGGAGTTTTATTCATGTATGTTGCTGTTGACGTTCCAAAACCCCAATAAGTTTTCTAATAGCATATTTTACCTCAAGAATCAAAAACAAAGATAGAGGCCTCTGATTTACTTAAATATCGCATTGGCCAAAAAT